TGCTGACAAACTGTCCACAGTACACCCCCAAAGTTATAGAGGAACTCTGAACTTTCACCGCACACGGAATTAGCCACAGAGCCAAGAATTCGGCAGAAAAACCTTGACACCAATGACTAAAACATCTCCCCTACTCACAGGTACGGTAGTAGCCAGGAAATTATACGCGTCCTTTTTCGAGTTGGAGCATTAGTGAAGATTTCAATTTCTGGCTGCAGCCTGACAACAGTAAGCCAGAGTTGTGGCAGATGTTCTTCGTGATATTTTTAGCTCAATTAGCTGTTCCTCCGTATTCTTACGTGTTGCGCACGGATGTGTGTATGTTTAACTTTTTTTTTCACCGTACGGAGCCAACCGTGCTAATTGGAGGTGCGGGGGAAGAACAACAATCTAAACACAACAAGCAGTCCTAAAGAAATACATTGTAAATTTAGATTTGCATAACTCTAGTGCCTTTCTAATGTCGGAAGGAAGAGCATTCCAGAAGCGCATCTGAAAGTGCGCGATGCAGTGACCATGTTTGTTCAATGGTTAGCCAAAATTCCCCGCTGCAAGGATGACCAGAGTTAGCATGATGGTTTATGCCCCTTGACTAGATCAGCAAAGTATCGTGATTCATTTGTGGCAAGCACTTTGTGTGTAATGAGTGCGATTGGCTGCAAAACATCTCAACATACAGAAGACTGCAGATATTGAGCAATTGTTTGTAGCGCCGACTCACTGCCTGGCTAACGCCTTCCGGCTTGTCTCTGGTTCCTCGTGCCTCGGAGTCCGAGGCAAAGTGAACCGTGCGTGCGTTGCAAGTTGAAATTCTCAAAATTCCGATGAACTGATATGCACCACACCTCACCGCCGCCTCCTGCCTCCCGTGTGATCAATCCTCTGTGGCTGTGGCAGGTTCTACACCCAAGCGCTTCAGGTCTGCTCTTGCTTTAGGTCTTCCCCTTTGTCGCTCGTTATCCGACGTTGTGGAGGATTCTGGGAAATAACAAACAAAAAGTCCCACTGTTCTTCATCTCTACACAAAAGCAATAGATTTTCAATGTTTTTACTATAATTTTTTCCTCTTTGGCGCACCAGTGAGCACACTGGACTTGCGATAGAGACCTCGCCCAGTTTCGGTTTGATCTCCCGCTGCAGCGGTTCAAGCGCCGGGCACGTTCCTTAGATCCTCAGCGCCTCTCGCCACCCACAGCAGCGTAAGGTAGCACGCCGCAGTCGGTCGATGGGCAGGGGTCGCGCGTGGTGGAGTCAAGTGCGGAAATTCCCACCTCTTTTAAAAGTGTCTGCAACAGCGTGGCAGAGTATTGCTACGTCTAGCAGTGGAGCTCCCCCCCCCTCCCCCGTCTGGCATAAGTCGCACGAGCCAAGGCACTTGCGGGGCTTTGTATGTGCGTCTGTTGAACTTCTTATGCACCATACGTAGCCAACCAAGGGCAACGTTTGCACCTTGACCTGTAGATGGGGTTTTTTAGTATTAAAAACTATTTGTTTTATTTTACCAGGTAAGGGCCACTGAGCTATATAGCTCCTTTTCAGAAGCGACCTGGCCACAAATAATAGGTCGATTGAAGTGGCCGATCACGTGTACCACTGTGTCATTACACATCTATAGCAGCCAAATACTCTAAACGCACGTTCATTCTAAATATGGGGAGAAAACCCGGAGGACCCGGAGAATAAAAAACACACGACCACGTGGAGAACGTGCTAATTCTAAATACAGAGCAGGCGTCAGGGTCGGGATTGAACCCAGGACCTCCTGCATACCAGGCGACGTAGTTAACATCTCGCCACCGTGGCACCCAAGTATAGATATTATCCAGGATGGAAATGTATTACCCAAATGCACTACAACAGGCATCCTGAGTTTTTTTTCGCGCGTAACAGATTACATGCCCGGCGAGGTTCAGAGAGATAGTGGGGTCGGTGCGTGCCATGGGGGGGCAGGGGGGGGGGGCAAATGACGTTCAAGCCGAGTTCACGCCGCCCCCCCCCCCCCCCCCAGATATCTCGCTCAGAAAAAAATGAACCCGTAAAAACAAAGTTTTTCACTATAAATCCTTTATATGCGTGTTCAATGGGCCACAACTCAGCCCACATTGGTCTTTGAAATGGGCGGCTAGAGTCCTCTCATCCTCTGGCTTGAGATGGCTGCCACCTATGGGTCAGATGATTGCCTGCCACCATTAAGCAATTGGTAATTAAAGTATAATTTATTTTTACCTAAAAAGTATAAAATTTTGGGGGGAAATTTTTTCACGAAAATAAATTGTCACGCACAACGAGTCTGTGTGCAAAATGTCAGCGCGATTGGATCACGGTAAGTGGGTTAAAAAACGACTGAAAGATTTGCACGGTCGTAAGCGCGCAAGCAAGCAAGCAAGCAAGTGAACTTAATATAAAGGATTTAAAAAGCAATGCGCGCTGGCCACTGTGAGGGCACCATTGGCCACTGAAGCATCCCAATGTGCACGAAACAAACAAACCAAAATGTGTGGGCTCATGACATCCGCGAAGGCAGCGTGAAATGTGAACAACGACGACTTGCGGCGCAGCAAACTTTTCGCCCGCCCCGCTGTTGTGCCGCGCCGGTTCGAGATTGCGTTTCGTCTCGAAAGAGCCCCGTGTACTTTCGTTCCATTTCAATCGAGCGACCCAAATTGTTTTGCGGGTTTGTGTTTAATGATTGCAGCCATCCACACGAGTGAAATGCGATGTAAAGTAAAATGTGGGTGTTGTAGGAGAAATGAAGGTTGGGGTTTTTTTTTCAGTTACCGCCATAATACGAGCATTGAACACTAACCTTTCCTCGTCGTATATGTATGTACCGTATGTTGGACTTCTTTCACGCCGTACGTAGCCAACCTTGCGCATGGCATGGACGATATTTGTGTGTCAGCTGAATACGAAATACATTCATCAACGTGCTGGTTTATTATAATCATGCATTTTTATCTTACGAAAAAATGTATTCACTGGTGGCCACGCACAATCCTATCTCATACGCTGGCCTTGTTACACATGGTTTACCAGTACAACGCAATGCAATGCTCTTGGCCAGTGTTTTTACATTGAAAGGCCCACGGGACGTTGGCGGGTCCTGGTGGCCTTTAGTACGGAGATAGACTGATGGCCTTAATCTAAGTTGTCTTGTGGTTGTTGTTGTTTGACTTGCATCCCACTTGGATTTTTGCACACAGCGTTGGTGGACGGTGCTTTTTCTGGAATATTTTGCTGTTTTTTCCTGGATTTTCTGTTTGCACATAGTCACATAGTCACTACAAGATGTTTTCTTGTTCATGTTTTTGTCTTTTGTTTGTTGCGGTTGCACCCGATTCAAGAGCCGAATGGCTCACAGGGCTATACCAAATAAATGAAACTTTAAAAAAACTGAGAAACTAAAACAAACGACACGTGACAGACAACACCCCACCCCCCATCATCATCGTGCTGCTATCAAACCTGCAATGGTTTCAGATGTGTGGCTGCCCTCACGGTGGTGGCTAAAGTCAGCGACCGTGAAGAACGCTGCTCGATACGGACACAACATACACGTGCAGACAGTCGCGACACATTCATGTACCTGTTACTCCACGTGCAATGTACATGTATTGAAAAGTATATTTTGGTACAAATCCCATGAGCTGCCACGGCCTTCTGGGTGTGATATTGTTTCGGCAGCATTTTGTTCGACACAAGCAAAACTCCGCACCGGTTTTTTGCGTCTCATCGCTCAAGTGTCTCATCCGCAGTCAGGCTTGCCTGCAAGCAATGCTGGTGAACTGCCAGGCATTTTAAAGGCAAAGCCCCATCCATCTCTGTTAGATACGGAGCCCTGGTTCGAAGCGACGCGATGCAAAATACATAAACGCCGGACATTGGTGAAGAGGAAATGTATGCGATGACATTTTTTTAAAGTGGGGCTGTAAAATGGAACAGCCTCTTTCCATTGCTCGGTGTAGCAGTAGGACTGATGGCTATCAGCATTCCTGGGATGGCTGTGTTCATGGCTAATGTTTGGACTGGAGAGCGTTTTAGAATGTGCTTTAATTATTGTGTTGTGAACGTACGTGGACTGCATTGGAGAAACTTGCCACTTGTTTATTTATCCAGGAAAGCCCTTGCCGAATTCTCAATCATCTTTTTGCAGGAGAGTCTTATATTGCGATGCTTAGCCAGTCCCGTTTTTTTATTGAGCGTTTATTTGCCTGTGTGTGTGTAAGTTTGTATGTATGTGGAACTTCTTTTGCACCGTATGTAGCCAACCGTGCTAATTGTTGGTGCGGGGGAAGGACAACAAACTTAACACAAAAAGTAGTTCTGAAGAAATGCGTTTTGGCGATACTGTGGTGAGCGTACCAGGGCTCTCTGAACCTCGGTCGTCTGACTTTGGATTCCCGAGCCAAAGTTGACTGTCGGTGACGATCGGTCTCACGCTGTCCGGGCAGCTTTATCCTTGGCCTTAAACGAGTGCCCGGTGTGATGTGTCACGTGGACACTGGGGAGGAACAGCAGCGGGTCAGGCTCGATGTTGACGTTAGCCGTACCCCACCCCGCTGTGCTCTGCTGTGCCAGGCGGCCGTATCGCTACACTGGGTTTGGGGGATCGTTTTTTTTTTGGTTCAGGGGTATGTATATTGTGTGTGTTCTGTTTTTTCTCTCTCTGTGTGGAGCGGTGGCGTAGCGGTCAGCGCGCTGCGCTGCGAACCCGGCGACCCGAGTTCGATTCCCGCTCATGGTCACCAACGCCCGGTGCCGATTATCTGAACCGGTCCTGGGCCTTCCCCTAGGTCGACTCAGCCTCAAATTAATACCTGGTGCGGTGTGTAGTCAACATCGTCACTGGGGAGACAAAGGCGGCCGGGCAACTTGTTGGCTACCCCCACCCCCTCGTGTGCCGTGCCAGGCTTCATCGGTTGCTACTCGCGAAAAGCACTTGCCCCAAACAGTCTGTTAAGGCTATAAGGGATATATTTGCCTTTGTCTTCTCTCTGCAGGTTCTACATCGAGAGCATTGCCTTTCTGAAGGACAGCGCTACCATCCGCCAGTTCTTCCTCAACGCCAAGGCTTGCGTTGCTTCGGTAAGACCACAGAACAGAGGTAGCAACCGGGTACCCGATACCCGTACCCTACCCGATACCCGGCTACCCGTACCCGGCTGGGTACGGGTACCTGTTTGCGACCTTGGTGCGGCTGGGTACGGGTACGGGTAGGCCGTGAGTCACTGGTGAGTCACCGTTTGTCACTCATTTCCCAACGTCTTGTCTCTTCTCACAATTCAAGTTCCTAGAATCAACCCACTCGCGCCTGCAACATGGCTTCATCCCAGAGGTCGCAATCGGGTATGGGTACGGCCGGGTACGGGTAATGAATCAAAACCCGTTTGTGACCTCTGCCACAGAAGGAGGGGGGTACAGAGGGTTACCCACTTTTTACCCCATTAAAATCAATCCCGCAATCATATATCTCTTGTCAATTTACATATTTATAACTTGTGTGTGTTGGGGGGGGGGGGTTGAGATATTTTGAGGTATCCGCAGACAAATTGGTACTCCGTGTAGACTTGGGGAAAGTGCTTTTAACGAGCAGCGATAACAAGGCTGACGACACAGAGGTGTAATGATGCACTGATTAATCGCTGAATATGGGTTCCTGTACTCATGATTGCTTTCGTGTATGCCAATGCTGCATGAAGCTGTCACTCACGATGCACGTGAACATTTTAATTTAAGTTTTCATGGATCACTCCCTCCTCTTAAATAGTTAAATAGTTTTTTTGTTATTGCTTTGACAGATTTGAAGCTTTCGTGACTGCAAGGATTCATACTCTTAGTTTTTTTGGTAAAGTCACGTAGGTAAAAAAATGAAATTAAAATTAATAAAAATAAAATAATAATTAATCACGACGTTTCGGCAAATCTGGCTGTGACGGTCCCACCTGATGACGGAGACTTGTGTTGCCTCCGAAACGTCGTTATTTTTATTATTTTATTTTTTCTAATTTTAATTTAATTTTTTTACCTACGTGACTTTACTGAAAAAACTAAGAGTATGCCTTGACAGACTTTTGGGGCAACCGCTGTTAGGGCCATCACAGTACACGAGGGGGGGGGGGTGGCCAGCACCTTGCCCAACCGCCTCTGTCTCTTCAATGGCGATGTTTACACACAGCACCAGGTACTCATTTGAGGCTGAGTCGACCTAGGGGATGGCCTACTGGTGTAGGCTGACCACTGCACTACCGTTACACCTCGACTGGCACAGCATACCAGCAAGGCGGTGCAATTGGCACCGGTCCTGACCACCTTTGCCTCGCCGGTGTGGAATGTTATGGGTGCCACGGTGGCGAGATGTTAACTACCTCGCCTCGTACCCACGAGGTCGTGGGTTTGATCCGGACTCTGACGCCTGCTGGATATTTGGAGTGTCTCTCTCTCCCCGTGGTCACGTGGCTTTTTCTCCGGGTCCTCCGGTTTTTCCCCCCACATTTAGAATCAACATCGTGCGTTTCGAGTATTTGGCTGTTGAAAAAAAAACATGTGTACTTTTTCTCGGAAGTTCTCTAAATTATCCATAATAGAGGGTCTTTTTGGGTTAGCTCACGCAAATATAAATGTGTCATTAAACCCGCAACCATCCGACACAGCCAAATTGTGAGATTTGCCACGTACACAAAACATGGAAATTATTTACTAGTACAGCACACCGGGCGGGGAGACGGGCTTAACGACACATTTATATTTACGCGATCTAACAAAAAAGAAAACCTCTTATGGATAATTGAGAAGTTCCCAGAAAAATACGAAGAACATTGTTTTATAGTAATAGGTTTTTACCCTTTCAACTGGTACAAAACTGACACCTTTATACAAGTGATCATGTTTGCAATAACCACAACACAAGCAGTCAAAATGCAATACTCTGATAGTGCGCTGTTTTTGAGTTGTACGCCTTTTGGCGTCATCTGGTCTAACACCAATGGAGACTAGGCTCTAAGAAAAGCTGTCTCGGGTGTGGACCAATCAACTTCAAGGACAGTGCATATAATTATCAGAGTTGTTTCTTTTTGTTTGCATTTTGACTGCTTGTGTTGTGGTTATTGCAAACATGATCTCTCGTATAAAGGTATCAGTTTTGTACCAGTTGAAAGGGTAAAAACCTATTACTTTATTTTGCCACTGGTAAAGGAGGCCTCATAGTGTTAAAACATTTTTTATGAAAAGAATAAAATATGGAGAGCCACGTCTCAATAAGTCCAAGCATGACAATTCCACATTCCTATGGTGGGGTCCAGTCTGTCCGTAGGACGACTGCTGTTGACTTCGTAAAAAAAGTGCTACCTCATGTTAAATGATCGACCTTAGCAGGCTGCAGAATTAAAATGTGGAAATTCCACATCGCTTTGGCAAGAACTAGTTTTTTACAACAACAACAACAACCACCATTCGCCACTCAGTGGCGGTGACGTCACCACGCTGCTTGTGCCAGGCCATGTGCACCTTGAGGCCACGTGAAGTGTCGAACGCCCGCTGGCAGGAGGTCACGGGGCAGACCCAGGTGCCACAGGTCGACTGACTGAGATGACAGAGATGACTGGCTGATGCACCACCTGTGCCCCCTACTGTACCAACTTGCTGTGCTTTAGTCACCCGGCGCTCCGCTCGTTGTGGTGAGCGTCGCTCCTCCGCCCTCCGTTGTTGTTGGAGGGCGACTGCCTTCAACTGCCCAGTAGCATCCTTCACGAGCTTCCTCCACAGAGGCCGATTTTGACACCGCTGGTACCAGTCATCGGCAAGTCCACTCACACATATATATATACACACACACACATATATTTACACACACACACCAAGCACTGCTGGCCAGGTAGTTCTTATCTTGATGGTCAGGGTTCAATGATGCTGAGCCGAGTCATCCCTGACCCAAATATGAACTCTCAACCTTGCACTTTGGAGCCGTTGCTTCTCTACCGCGAGAGCTGTCCAGTGCAGCAAGCCACTGAGAAGCCGCTCTGATTACGAAATGTTCACACTGGAGGCATGAACAAGTCCTCCTCCAGCATCTGCCGTTATTCGAAGAACAAAGATGAATTGCATGTATGCAGTGGCGCATAATATGCGTGCACGCCATCATTGTGAGGGTGGGATTTTCATCCTTCTGCCGAGGCAAGTGTCAACTCGAGGTCACTTTGAAGGCTCGCCGACAAGATGAATGCATCGGCTTAAGGCTTCGCGGTGTGCTGGGTTCAGAGTTCACGCAGATATAAGGGCTCTCACGGCGCATCGAGGTTGGCCAACAAGTCGCTTGCATTGTGCGTGCGCGCGTGTGTTGAACATTTTTCGCACCGCACTTGGTCAACCGCGCTAATCGGAGTCGCGGTGGGACGGACGACGAACGCAATGCAAAAAAGAAGTTCTGAAGAAACGAGTTTTCATTTTGGAAGAGGTGAGATTTGCTCACGGGCGAGAGAGGATCACGGTGCGTACGGAAAGCATGTTGCAGGAAAAAAATGACGGGTTACAGCGTGAAGATTCCAGCGCATTCCAGAGATTGGCTAAGGGGGTGCGCGGGCACATGCTGCATCAATTGCGGCATAAGTGCTTTGAGACAAGGCATGAAGCGGGGTGTAAGATGCATTTTATGCTCTGACCGCTGACAGCCTATACTTTTCACGTCGAGTAGTCCTTGCGTATTTATCTTCTGTGACGTGTTGTAATCTGAATTTACACTTTTTTTCATTCGCCACAGCCCATCATCCCTTCCCAGGCTCGATAAAATTGATACCATTTTGTGGAAGCGGCAATGGTTTGCTGCCCTTCCCCCGCGCCTCCGATTAGACGTACGGTGCGAAAGAAGTTCAACATGCACGCATACATGGTGCAAACCAGAGAAAAGTGGAATTGTTTTGCCACAGACCTAGGGTCAGTGACAGAGGTCACCAGGTCTTAATTAACAACAATAGACCATTGTGATATTATATTCAAGAATATGAATCCTTGCAGTCACGAAAGCTTTAAATCAAAACATTGTGATATTGTTAAATAAAGTAGCAATGTAAGACGTTGACGAAGATTGTGTTGCGTGAACAAATATATAGCTTTATGTATATATCTTTTTTAATGTTGCGTTTTAGGGCATCTGTAACGTAATTTCAAACATACATTTAACATTTCCACAAATTGTGCGTACGAAAAACAGTCACACAAAATCAATGTACCATTAATTTTAACGACGAACTCGAGTCGGAAAAATCAACTCTCAATTGGATTCATTCTTCGTTCCAAGTTTGGAATTCTTTCTTGGAGAAGTTAACATGGGAAAGTCCGTGATGATGTTGTTGTTTTTAAATCCTTTATATTAAGTTCACTTGCTTGCTTGCGCGCTTCGGACCGTGCAAATCTTTCGGTCGTTTTTTAACCCACTTCCCGTGATCCAATCGAGCTGACATTTTGCACACAGACTCGTTGTGCGTGACAATTTATTTTCGTGAATTTTTTTTTCCAAAATTTTACACTTTTTAGGAAAAAAATAAATTATATTTAATTACCAATTGCTTAATGGTGGCAGGCAATCATCTGACCCATAGGTGGCAGCCATCTCAAGCCAGAGGACGAGACTCTAGCCGCCACGCATATAAAGGATTTATAGTGAAAAACTTTGTTTTTACGGGTTAATTTTTTTCTTTCCTACGACGTTCGTTAGAAAGAACACGACAACAAAAAATGCCCCCCTGTCCACGGTACACGGCCGCCTCTGGTGCTCTGGTGTGCCAGCCCATAACACTCCGACAGATGTCAATGCCTGCTGCCTGCGGAAGTTCCGCACAGCCCTGCGGTGCGACGTCGCGGTTTGTGCCCGAACAAATTCCCCACACCAGGTGTTAGCATTGGCGTTAATTAAAACACGCACGCACGCACGCCCCTGTTGTGCATTTGTGATGGCCTTCAGCAGACACCAGCTGCAGGTGGGAACTTCCACAACGCTGCTTTCGAACTCAAATCGGATCCATATTCTTAGGTTTTTTGCGGTAAAGTCACGTAGGTAAAAAAAATTTAATTAATAAAAGTAAAATAAAAAATAA